TATTTTCTCAATTTATTTCCCAAACAGAAAGCTCAAATACTGGACTATCCAGTTCAAAACCAGACACCTGGCAACCCTATCTGCTCTAGGAACGTCCGTTGTCCTACTGAACCATGGAGTTTTGCTAGACCAGAGTGTCTCGGTTTAGGAAGGTAGAACCTATTCTTCTTTACAGAAAGATACTAGAGATCCAAAATAATTACTAGTCAAGGAAATAGAATCCTACATAAAAGTGGCACGACACAGACCGCTCACCAGGCAGCATGCTACTTATGAATATTGCGTAGATATCATTTTTGGTTTTGAATATTGAAATTTGTTCTAGCTACAGTTTGCAAAGATAAACTAAACTCCTCTGAATCGCATCTACTCAACTCCCCAAAATAAATAGATACAACTGGGAGAGCCCATAGGAAGGGGAAAAAACTGTTAGCAAAACTTTGTGAAGCAGGGAAAACCAGAAAATGTATACTTCTCTTTTGCACAGAACATTAGATAAAAGGGATATAATTTAGGCTCAAAATCAATTAATCTAGGAAAAAACTTTCAAAGGATAAAACTTTTATAAAAGCATACTAACACATTTAAATTAAAGTCAAAGTTAATCTAATTTTTTCGTGGACACATCTGATTTTTTAAAATTGAATAGTTTATTAAATAGTATGATAAGATTAACATTGTTCTCATATAATTAAAATTACCAGTAAGAACAAACCAATGGTTATTCTTTAAACCTCAATCACATGGCAACTTCCAATTTTCTAATAACATTTTACTGATTTTTTAAGAGGTTTTATAGCTATTAATTCTAAGGAGGAAAATCACCCTAATGTGGTGTGCATATACAAGGCCCTATATGCACTGCTTAGGTATATAGAGGTGACCAGAAATCAAGGTAAATACTAAGATTTAGACAAAGAAATAACAGTCACATGAATTTCCAGTGAATTTACTGAACGCTGAACCACTCAAACTAAGATGAACTTATCTTTCAATAGCACCCAATAACAGGGTCACTGACAGCACATCCTGTTTTCCTGGCCAAACCCTTACCTTCCTTTAAGTTATAAAAAGAAGCTGTCTACCAAATGTTGTGGTCCTACCAATTGTGTGTCTCACACTAAGGCCAGAGACTGCTTATGGTGACTGGTTAGGTACTTTGCACTTTACAACATTTAATTGGGGAAATAACTGGGTGTTCTACATCAGATAGTTTAAGACAGGCCAAGAAAAGAAAACAACAGGACACCACTTGTTATCACCTACAGCGCACAACTTAAACCCCTCCAACGCATTATTAACAATCTACAACCTATCCTGGAAAATGACCCATCACTCTCACAGGCCTTGGGCAACAGGCCAATCCTCACCTACAGACAACCCCATAGCCTCAAACAAATTATTTCCAATAACCACACAGCACACCTCCATCATACTCATACAGTAACCCACCCTTGCAATCAACCCCAGTGCCAACTCTATCCACAAATCTATACAAGTGATATCACAGGACCTAACCACATAAACCACCACATTAGAGGCTCATTTAACTGCCCATCAACTAACGTGATCTATGCCATCAAAGCCCCTCTGCCATATATTTGCCAAACTGAACAGTCTCTGAGAGAAAGAATTAATGGACACAAATCTGATATCTGAAAAGGCAACACACGAAAACCTCTTGGGGAACATTTTAACTTTCCCAGACACTCATTAATGGATCTCAGAGTCACTGTATTGTTTCAGGCCCATTCCACAAGCCAACTCCACAGGGAAGCCTTAGAACTTAACTTCATTTACAAGTTCGATTTCTATCACAGAGGAATGAATAAAGGCATTGGCTGGATGGCCCACTACATTCCACATCCTAATGACATAAAAAAACCAAAACACTGTGTACTTAAGAACAATTAGTACCTTCTCTATCAGTTTCAAGTGGCATGTACACTCTAATTTACTATTTCCTCCCCCCCCCTTCTTTTTCCTTCTCCTCCCCTCATCCCATATTTATTTAGAAACTTGACCTTTCATAACTCCATTCATCTGAAGAAGTGGGTTGGGCCCATGAAAGCTCATGATAACAACAACATGTTTTGTTATTCTCAAAGGTGCTGCAAGACCTTATTGTTTTTAAAGTTTTTCCAGTTACAGACTAACTTGGCTACCCCTATGAATCTTCTAAATTTAGTTAGAGATGTAATACAGACAAGGACTTAGAATGTGTGACACATGATAAGGTGAACATTGTAAGCCTCAAATACTGTTGATATATCTTCAGTAGGTTTGGCAAGTATGTTGAAACTGCCCGATATCTATACTGTCTGATGCTGAATTTAGTGTCCATAAACAAAACAAAGCCAAAAAATAAAATCAATCTGGAATAACTCTTATTATTTAAAAATGTCGAAGTGATTTAGAATCAGGCCCACCGACATGGGGAGGTACAAATCAGTGATTTATAGGGGACCGGGCCTCCCTGGATTCATTGACACATTACCCCACCACCACCACCACCAATCAGGCAGTGTTGGAGGAGGAAGTCATAAGATCTGAACACAGAAGGGAAAAACCCAAACTAGCAGGAGGAAAGGAAATAGATTGGGAATCTGGAAAGTCTGGGGTGGGAAGAGAAACCATTACTAGGATTAGCTGTGTGGAAAAGGAGACTTGGATGTTGTGCAGAGAAGACAATGAAAAAAATGTTGGGGGAGGACCAAAAGCCAACAGGCTGATAGGGGGAGAACACATAGCTCAAATGAACAATAGGGGGATGGTAGAAGAGAGGGACTAGGAAAAGCTGGAATAGAAAGAAGGGAGACAGATCTCATTAGAAGCTGGGTACTGGCCACAAAAGATGTTCGGACAAAAACCCAGGGAGGAGGGAGATTAGGGCAAGGCGCAGAGGAGACTAGGAATGGGAGCTACCACAGGGGAAAGTAGGAGGGGAGTAATAGGATGAGAAGCCTGGAGTTGGGAAGAGATGGGAATGACAGAAGTTAGAAAGGCCAAGCCAGAACAAGGTCAACATAGGTGACAATGGGCAGAATCTTGTGTCCATGAGGCACAGGTGAATAGATTCTCTCGAGGTCCCTTCCAGTCCTAGTATTCTATGATTCTATTATTCTTATTGTCAGAAAACATCTATGAAACCCATTTGCCACTAGTGTTGATCCTCTTAGAGAATGATAACTTACTACCACAATCAGTTAGTTTGTTAACTCAAGACAAGTCTGGCTCAAGAGAATTCTGCCAATGCAGGTACTGTAGGAGAGCCTTAAAGTTACCTTTTGAAGATCCCTTACAAATCCTGGCTTAGGAGGTATACCAAGATAGAGTCACAGCATCGTGGCCTATTTACAGCCCTGACAAGTTGCTTGTAACTTAGACAAACACCAGAGTCACCTAATTCATGTACTCCAACCCCCAAAGCAGCCCAGGATTAGGAGGGCGTGTATTTTGCATAAAAATAATCTTAGCCCCGCCACATCTGCTTGGGCTGCAATTCTGGGTTGCAACTTATAGAAGTGCAGCATAGATCTTGCCTAAGATGTTTCAATTATGGTTAAGTGAGAGATGGAAAAGTTCTATAACTCTACGTTACCTAGTTCAGCCCCTGAACTACTGTGGTGGATACTGCCACTGAGTTTGCCATGATGCCACTGCGACCTTGACCTTCTACTCTGGCTCCTATGGGAATGGTGGGACTCCAAGGACTCCAAGAAGGAAGACGATGGAGGAGCCAAACTGTGGGGTACCAGACATTGGGAGCTTGGAAAGCCACTGGGCTTTTTGTCCAAATGGGCTGGCGCCAAAGGGAGGTGTGGAGTAAGGGAACATTGGGACATCATTGTCCCTCCTGACTGCACGTGGAGTGGGGTGGAGCTGACCATGCTGGAGAGACTTCTCTCAGCGAGCAAGAATAGCACTGGAAGACACAGCAAGTCCTAGGTCACTTCAAAAGCTTTTAGTCGAGGGAAGTGCTGGCCACTAGGAACTGAGAAGCACAGGGAGCCCAGACTAAACTGCTCACCTGGGCAGAAGTTGACACAGCCTTACCAGGATCGGGAGCTGTGTCCTGACAGGGTTCTCACAGTTGTTTGCCTCTTGGATTTGGCTGGAGGAAAACAATCCTTCTCCGGCTTCTTTTCCTTCTGAGGCACTGCCAGCTGAGACTCATGCCTGCTCACTGACTGTGGGAGGTGCTATCTTGGCACTGAGAGTCTCAGGATGACTCCTTTCTCAGCACCAGATTTCTTGACAACAGTACCAGGGCGCTCTGCACTGATGAAAAGGTGCTAGAAGCAGGGTCCACTTTTTATGAGGGATGGAGGAGAGCTGCCTCCAAGAGTACAACTTAAAACTGCTGCTCCCTTTTGTAAGAGTTCTGAAGCAGAACTTGAGGCAGATCTTACAGAAGTCTTTTTAGTGACCTTCCCCTAGGCACCATAAGCAGGAGAAGAGAGTATCACTTCATGCAGACCAAACAGTTTTTAAACCCTGGGAACAATGACATGCCACGGCTCCAGGGAGTCGGGATGGGAGTAGAGACCCCCAACAACTCTAACTACTGACTAACTGAGCGAAAGATAACAAGAACTCTGAGGTTGAAGGTGTTTGCTGATGATAAAATGGAACTGAGGGGGTGGCAGGTCAGCAAGGCTCTATATTGAGCACCCTGGATATGAGACTCCAGTGGGTGTCCTGGCTGACCTGACGGATCCTGCTACAGGCAAATCTTCCAGCCCCCATGCACATGTGCATGCATACACATGATTGGAATGGACATGATCAAGCACTCGATCTATTACTGAGGTTTCTCATTAAAGAAACTGTTGTAAGATTTCAGTGAAACTACACCAGTTTATATCAGCTGAGTGTGTGCCTTTGTTTTTTAGACTTCTCACCATGGAAAAACTATATTTCTATACTGAAAAATCTTGAATGGGAGACACTTGGGCCATTGGGACACAATGAATCGTTGGATTTAATATATCACTTACCACATGTGTGATTTTCAATGTATTACCATCAAATCTGCATAAACTTGTGCTGTCTTCAAGAAAAATGTCACATTCCTCCAATTCCTGTGCATTACAAGGAGGGTTTTCTTTCTCAGGGTGTGGATTCTGAAACCAAAAAACAGTGAAATGTACTGAATACCTGGTACACAATATTATACATTTAAGTCGATGTGATGACATCAAGGATGAATATGGTTCTAGGTATTTCAGACTAAAGTCATCCCTTCAGTTAATGATTACGTTACTTGCCATAACATGTCTGTACTCCCAGATTCACATGTGTATGTTAATTTTGCATTCATCAGGATTAATGTTATATAGCCTTGTCATTTGCTTAGGATATTGACAAAAGAATGCTCACAAAGGAATGTTTCTATTTTGACTTGGTTCATTTGTGGATGTAATGAATAACAGGAGGCCCTTTCGGTTGTCTATATATTTTACTAGTTGCTATGCTTTCCCCACATTTATTAGATTGACTGCAGAGTAAAGTGTCATCTCACCAACGCAGGTATTTTTAACTTCAGCTTTAACTATAGCAGAAACGTCAGAAAACAATGGAGTGACTCACTGTGTAGCAGCTCCTGTTTATTTTTCAAATGCAAACTTCCTCTCAGCACTTCTAGTGGCCACTTAAAATTGACACAAGATTTATAGCTCTTTTATCCATCTGGTAATGGGAAAGCATACACATTTGGCCTTTGGCTGATATTTCTCAAGGCAAAAAGAACAAATATTAAGAGCACAGTAGAAATGGATATTTGCTGTGGGGGAAAGCAGGTAACCATGCACTTTTTAAAAATCACTTGAATAAGCTAGAGTTCACAAAGTAATAGAATTTCTCTCTTACTTTCTAGCGAGGCAGTTGTAACTTTCTAGCTACAGTTGTAAGTTAAGTACTCAACCTACACTGAAAAGGGATTTATTACTGTTGATAAGCTATAGTATTTTCCATTTCTATTTTCTAGGAATCAAAAGAGTGAGACTTTGGCCAAAGATTTGAAATCATAGTCACAGTACAGACAATTTAAAAAAATATCTGGATGGAGCAAACAGAGTGCAGTGTGACTTTTGGTGGGGGATGTTGTTTGTTACTAGAAAAAGTTTCATCTGAGGGAAGTTGAACTTCTTAGTGGAAAAGGCACTTAATTAAAATTCACTTTCTAAGAAAAGCCTGCACATTTATTAGGTATAAGCATGGGTAAATGTATTTTTTAAAGCTTGATCCGAGAGAATTTGTTTGTACTTTGTATTTATTGCTTTCTTCTTGCACTTTACCTATACATTGGAATTTTTAAATCTCAACAACAGAAAAGCAATTTGTGTTAGAAATCTGTGCTGGGGGGAGAGCAAGGACAGGAAGGCCAATGCGTGACCCAGCTAGGCTGTGAGGAGGTCAGAGGGAAGGACAGGAAGCTTGGCACATGACCCAGCTGGGCTGCCGTGGGAGCCCAGAAGCCTGGTGGGGTGGCAACGCAAGAATTTGGACTAGCAGCAAGGGAGTCACAAATGACCTGCCCTAGTCTGGCAAAATCCCCCATCTGAGATCAGTCAGGTCCTCAGGGTGCCAGACTACAGAGGTCCAACCTATAGAACTTTCCCATTCAAGTTTTTGGATGATGAATGTTACGTTTTTTGATGCCTCAATTAAAGTTATTGCCTTTTAGGATGAGTTGGGGAAGACTGCAGTGCAAGTAATCAGCACCTTCCTCCCTCTTTGCTCTTCATAATGGGTATCTACTTTGCTTAGGAGATGGAGCGCTCACAGCCAAGGGGCAGAATTAGAGTAACTGATGTTTTGCTCTGAAAGACAATTACATCTAGTTTTCAACCATCTACTCCAGGACAGTCATTTTTAAGAGTCATACTTTAAATTACTATGCTTGCATATGGATGCTACCAACCATAGAATTGTTCAAACTGAGAGATGAAAGAAAACATTTGCTTAGCCAGGCTATGGATCTATTTCTGTCAAGGTTGTTCTCCATTCTGGCACTTCAAAGTGCAGAATGTGGGGGCTCACAGGGGACCTTAACAGCAACAGCAATGGCTTCTGTTTAAAAACTCCAAAAGGTCACAGGATCTCTGATCTCGGGTGGTACCCTACCGCTATTCAAATACAAAAACCCCTTGAAGCCGGGAAGAAGCACTTGGGAACTTCTCCCTGCGAGGTTCCCCTAAGCTCTTATCCCTCCATTAAAAGGGAGCTTGAAAACAATTGCAATTTCTTAATAGGTGACCTTCAATCTCAAGCACATGCACACCCTCCTGCTTTTTCTTAGGACACAGGAATTAGATCATAGTCTTAAAAAAGGTAATTTTATTAATAAAACAAGGAAAGACATACTTGGTAAAGCATACTTGTTGTTGTTGCTCTGTAGCATCTAGCAACCAACATCAAAAAGAATTAAAGCACAGAGAATTGCTTCCCTGGGATTCAGTTTCAGTGTACAAGGGGATTTAGCACAAAGGAGTTGAAAAGAAAAGAGAAAAGAAAAGAACCTGACTGCATCTAAATAAACATCTCCTGTTCCACTTACATCTGTTGATTCTTTTCTTAGACATGAATACTGTTAGAAAATCTATGCCTTATTACTGCTTAGTCCATTTCGCTCCCAGCTCCTGCTCTGGCTCACACATGCAGGGAAAAATGAAGCAGGCAAAAACTTATTATTTCATTTCAAACTTCTTCTACTCTTTCTTAATTGGCTCTCCTGGCTCCCTGCCAACACTTCCTGAATATCCACTCTTCTGGGTTTAACCCTTTAAAAGCAATTTTTTTACTGAATGCTGGGATGTTTGGAAAAGGGTAGCACTCCTGCCATCCATCAGAATTTCATAGGTGGCTGGGTGAGGTTCTGTGGCCTGCAATGTGCGGGAGATCTGACTGGATGATAATGATGCTCCTTTCTGGCTTTAAAGTCTATAGGCAGTTTAAAGATACCTATTGTAACCAGAGATCTGTTGCTGCTCAAAATCTGAGAGATAAATATCTATTTTTCTTTTATTTCATAGAAAAAATGAAAGCTTAAAACTAGAAGTTTAAATGCATCTTGATCCAGCATTTATTTATATGTATGGAATGGATAACTCAGAATTAGAACCAAATGACTGTGCCATAAAATGAAAAAATATTTTACAGGTAATTGACTGAATACTAAAGAGGGTCTCTGTACTGCAATAGCATTGTAAATGTACATTGTTTCAAAGTTCAGAGATAGAATTATGTTCTTCTGAAGAGCATGCTATAAAAGGGGCAATTAATTGTTAATAGATTCCATTATGTCAAGTCTTGTAACTATTATAATTGATATCAATTTTTAATAATTGCTTTCACTGATAAAATAACTTTTAATCCTGTCCTTATGGTAAGAAATATCTGATGTTTTACTGCTGTAGAATTTATGTCTATTAGCTTACTTCCTCTTTATGCAAGTCAAGAATGTATACAAATGTTTCAAGGATATTAACTATTAGAAGTAGAAAAGCCCTATCAAAGTCATCTAGCTAATCCCATGCCAGCAAACCATGGTCCCCTACTTCTTATTTTCCAGTAATCAGCTTATTGTGGTGTTAAAATGAAACAATTTCCACCACTTTTCTTGGGAGGCTTTTTACAGTTTAGTAGACTCCATTGTCAGCAAGCTCTCTTAATATTCAATATAAGCTTTGCATTGCTTTATTTTATTGATTTTGCCTATTACAATCCTCAGCTGCTCCTCCACATCCTATTGTCTATATCCTTCAAATACCTATGGGCAATGGGGAACCATGAACACTGTCTCTGGTCAAGGATGATCAGAGACTGGAGGTAGAAGAACTTTATTCCATCTCTGAACTCAGACTGTGCCAACTCTAAATTGACATAGCAACACTCCATCTTCACTGCCAATCCACTGTCCAACAAACTAAGTCAGAATGGACTTTCTACTGCCTGCCCTAAAGTAATAGTTTATAGAGCTGGGCAAAATATTCTGGACAAATAAATTATTTCCAAAATTGCCATTTCAGCTCAATCAAAACTTGCAAATTTGACATAAATCTGTCAGTTTTGGACAAATGCAATTTTTAGGGCTAGTTTCAGTTGGGGGCTTATGAACCACACACAAAGCAATTAGAGAAGGAGAAAAGAAATCTTAATTCTGACTACCTACCAACAAAACTAACTAAACTGTAACTGTAACAATGTGAACTAGTAAACGAATAAGGAGAGCAACTGCGGTTCCGACCGACGCTGACGGCGGTAGACAAGGAATGTAAGGGACAGTTGCTGCGCATGCGTGGTAACGGCACCATACATGCTGCTGGCCTCGTCTGCATGGCACATTGGAGCTTCTCATTTCTGAATACCTCTAGTATTAAAAAGATACTCCAGCTTTGCTGGGAGACATGACTGTTTCTAACACCAATGGATTTCAGGGCTAAAGAAGATTTAATATAGAAGCTTTAGGGCTATCTTATCAGACTCTCCTTAGACTCAGACAGTCAGAAAGTAGACCTGGATGACTGCACTCCAGCTTTCCCCACCTGTTCTGAGTATCTTGTGGTCATTGGGGGACTAGTGGAATGGGGCGGGGAGAAGGGGAAAATTAGGACTGCATTCTATTAATCTTAAAAAAATTCTTTAAAAGACTGGATTAAGATCATGCAAAGTCTACCAAGCACAATATTGCTGTATGTCCTATTTTGAAAATTCATAAAAAACCACAACCGCTCCCCCCCTTTTAAAACCTTTATCAGAAAACTCTCCTGCAACACTTCAAATTTATTCTACCACAACATTTATTCTTTGGCAAACAGAAGCAAATGAGTAATAAGCAGCCTTCATTTCAGGCTGAAGAATTAAAATCAAAGTACTGTAAATATTAGAAAAATATATTTTATTGGATTTTCTAAAATGTTTATCATTTTAAAATATTATCTTAAAAATCTGACAACTGCAGTTGGATTTTTGCTGAATTGTTACTTTGCTGTTAAGCATTATTTGAACACACTAGTTGTAAAATTAAAAAAAATCAGATTATAGTTAAATCCAGTTTATGCCTTTTTTTCTTAAAATTAACTAGCATTTTATTTATCTCAATGACCAAATCCAATGTTTGTAAATATAAATTTTAACAAGAGGTGTATACTTTAAGATTACTTGCAAACATTCCCAAATATTGAATCATATCACCTCAATCACAGAATTTGACTTTGCCAAATTAAATAATTATTTTAATAAAATATCCTCTGGTCACTTTACACTACCTACTAGGTGGTCAGCACAGACATGAACAAAAATTGAGAACACAGAGCAGGATCAAGTCTTATATAATGCATTTATCACTATAAAACTTCAAACTCAAAAAATATTTTATCTTGTGTTAAAGAGATTTGTAAAGATGGATTACTTAGCAAATTTAAGCTACAGATTAAACACCCCCTCCCAAACCATCACAAAGACTTAAAAAAACAAACAAACATAAAAATAACATCACAAGATGCCAATTATGACCCTAATGACAAAAAGACCTATGATTTTCTCTTTAAACCTTTCTGGAGGGGGGGGGGGGGACCCCCCAAACTTGAGCATAATAATGTCAGCACATTTTGAACACTCTGAACACCAAAAAAGGTATATTGGCATTGGAAGAGGTTCAAGAAAGGGCAACAAAATTGATTAGGGGTTTGGAACAGATTCCATATGAAGAGAGATTAAAAAGACTAGGACTTTTCAGCTTAGAAAAGAGGAGACTAAGGGGGGATATGACAGAGGTCTATAAAATCATGACTGGTCTGGAAAAAGTGAATAAGGAAGAGTTATTTACTTATTCCCACAATATAAGAACTAGGGGTCACCAAATGAATTAATAGGCAGTAGGTTTAAAACAAACAAAAGGAGGTTTTTCTTCACTCAGTGCACATTCAACTTGTAGAACTCCTTGCCAGAGGATGTGGTGAAGGCTAGGACTTTAACAGGGTTCAAAAAAGAGCTAGATAGATTCATGAACGTTAGATCCATCAATAGCTATTAGCCAGGATGGGTAGAAAGATGTCTCTAGTCTCGGGTTTTTTTCTGGAAATGGGTGACAGGAGAGGGATCACATGAGGATTACCTGTTGTGTTCCCTCCTTCTGGGGTATCTGGTATTGGCCACTGTCAGCAGACAGGATACTGGGCTAGATGGACCTTTGGTGTAATCTAGTATAGCCATTCTTATGTTCTTAATATTTGAATTATTCCAAATTTTCAACTGTGCAGTGAATTGCCTCTTAGTTAGTCTGGCCACCTCAATTGTGAGGTACATCCCACCTACTTCGAAAATGTGAGTTTCTCTTGGAGTCTGAAATAAGAGTACAACAAAAACCCTGAACACTACCTACCACATCAAAATGGACTCCACTCCCTGAAGATGGGATTATTAAAAGGCACCCAAAAGTCTGTGCCTTTAGTTGAGATCCGCATAAAAATGTCTTTTACAATAAGCAGCTCACATTTCAAATCTGGATACTCATGGCATCCAATTTATAAAAGGTGACTTCACAAAACGGCATTTTGTCTCTATCAGTGGTGGACAACCTGCCACCCAAGGGTTGCATGTAGACCAGAGTTATATGGCTGCTCGTGAGATTTTTGGTTTACTGTTCCCCATGATTCTGCTGGTTTCCAGGTGCATAGTTTTTTTCCTATTAGTATTATTATAGTGACATGCACTTAAAGCAAGGGCACATGAAGTGAGGTGCATGCTGACTTCACACAAAACCCTGACTGACAGCCGTACATTCCCTCTGCATTCAAAGTACTGCTATGGTTCTGTCAGCACATGCTGCAAATTTTAGATACACAAGTCATCATCATCATCGCCTTTCATGCCCACTGGCATACAGGGCAGCAACAAAGGTCCTCCACTTCTGTCTGTCTCTGGCCAGCCTCTCAATAGTGCCCCAAATGTCATTCATGCTCTTCATTTCTATTTCAACTGTCCGGCGCCATGTTATCTGGGGTCGTCCTCATTTGCACTTCCCTTCAGGGGTCCAGTGCACAGCAATCTTTGTGATGGAGCTTCCATCTTTCCTGAGCACATGCCCAATCCTTCTCCAGCATCTTTCATAACGATGGTAGCCATGTTATCTTGTTCACACCGCGCAAGCAGGTCCAGATTTGAAATTATTCTTGGCCAAAAAATATGGAGGATCCTCCAAAGACTTCTGGTGTGAAAAGTCGACAAGAACTCAAGTGCAGTTAGCAAAACTACCCTATCCCCGGAGACCATCTTGGTTACACAAATCTTACAGCATACTGAGAGGAAGGAGGGCAACTCACATGGAACAATTGCTAGCCTAGGTTGCCCATCTCTACTGTATAAGCTTCTTTTTGTGCTCATATGAGGAAATGAATACCCTTGCTTACCAAACCTCCTCCAAAAGTTACTTTAAATCAGTACAGCCTGGAACAGACATTTCACAAGCAGTAGGTGTAGAAGAAAGGGAGCCTGAAACATCAGGCCTGGTATAAGTGGCCTGGACTCAAAATAAAGTAGTGTTCAAGCCTTGGTGATATAAAGCAAAATTAGCAAAAATCCAGTTGAGAGCAGAAGTCACAAAATATACCGGTTTTCAAGTTCACAAAACCTGGTAAGAACATGGTTAGCACTACACACTTCTACACAGTAGTAGGAACAGGACACTCACACAAACACATTCCAGAAAGATGGTACAGTAGACTTCCAATAATCCGGCACCTTTGGGACCTCGGTAGTGCTGGATTATTGGATATGCCAGTGTCAGGAGATACTCCGGCGGGGGGCTGTGATGGGTCTGCTGGGACCTGCACTGCATCCGGGGAGTGGGAGGGGGAACAGCACAGCGAGGGGCGAACCCTCCGCCGTTTTGCAGGAAGGCAGGGGAAATCCCGCTCCTGCCAGCCGGACAATTGGAGCTGCTGTGAGCCCCATGGGCACTCGCAGCTGGGAAAGGAAAGGGGAGAAGAGGGCAAGAGGATTATACCCCTGTGACGGGTCTGCCGGGACCCGCACTGCAACCGGTTGGGGGTGGGCGGGGAACAGCGCGGAAAGGGGTGAACCCTCCGCCATTTTGCAGGAAGGCGGGGGAAGCCCCGCGCCGCCGCTGAGAGTTTCCGGGAGGGGAGCGGGCTTTCCACCCCCTAGACTGCAGTAGTTATCGCCGAGCAGGGGGGTTAGGGGTGGCGCTGCGGGACCAACCCGGCAACACCCTAGCTGCTATGCTCCGCGCTGCATCCCCAAATCCGCCGCTGCTGAAACTGATGAACAGCGGACTTGGGGAAGCTGCAGAGCAGAGCAGCTGGGGTGCTGCCAGGTTGGTCCCGCAGCGTCGCCCCTCACACCGCCCTGCTCGGCGATAACTACTGCAGTCTGGGGGGTGGAAAGCCCGCTCCCCTCCCGGAAACTCTCGGCGGCGGCGCGGGGCTTCCCCCGCCTTCCTGCAAAATGGCGGAGGGTTCACCCCTTTCCGCGCTGTTCCCCGCCCACCCCCAACCGGTTGCAGTGCGGGTCCCGGCAGACCCGTCATAGGGGTATAATCCTCTTACCCTCTTCTCCCCTTTCCTTTCCCAGCTGCGAGTGCCCATGGGGCTCACAGCAGCTCCAATTGTCCGGCTGGCAGGGGCACTTCCGGGTTCCAGTTGGTGCTGGACTATCAGGAGTGCCGGACCACTGGATGCTGGACAATTGGAGTTTTACTGTATTAGAATACCTCAAAACAGCGTTATGGTGTAAACAAACTCCCTGAAGATGCTATGACAATACAATGATCCTCTCAAAGATAGGAATAGGATGATAAGGCAATGAATATAGATGTTTTGATGGAACTAACATGTGCAAAGTAAATAATAGTAAAAACCATGTCAGAAGGACAAAGTATAACTTGTTTGTATCAGTATATAAAAGAAAGGTCATACATAAATGGTATATCTTTGTGCAGTGAGTGGGGGAAGGGTGGAAAGTGCCATCATTCACTGAGTGGGTCCACAAGGCGTATACGTGTTAATGGTCCTGTAAATTGTATGAGGTGCTAGGACTGTGTTTTATCAGCAATAATCCTGGCCAGATGCCTTGGCTAGTAAAATAGGTTTGTAGTTTTATTGGGAAGTTTGATTGAGATATACAGTGTCTGCTATCAGAACAGAGCTGGGACAGTATTGAAAGAACTCATCTAGCAAACGACTAACTACAGCAGGAAAACAAATACACAACACACCATACTCAGTCATTCTTTTAGTGTTTGCTCAACAAAACATATGCCAACTGAATTCAGTATGTGTGGATTATGTTACCATTTAAATTTTGTACTCTATATATAGATTATGAAAAATGATAAAAACTACTTAGTGTCATTATAGTTTAATAACTGTAACTGAACAAAAAAGAATGTTAATAGTTAGATTCCTAAATGACCTGACTGATTACATAATGTCAAAAAAGGGAGAGCCTGGTTCTCAAGACTATAAACCTTGAGCACATCTATAAGGATTTTCTAATGTTATTTTTCATTTTAATTTCTTACCATTTCTTCAGAGGTAAGATGCATCAGGCGTTCAGCTACTGCAGAACACTGGGAAGAGCCCATGATGAATTCTCCTCGTGAATCATCCACTATCAGCTCTGGCCACATGGGTCCTTCATCTTTCTTAATTATAGAAATCTCCAAACTAAAGGACAAATATGGGGTTGGAAGGTAAGAAGATATATGTAACATTAAAAATAGCATCACTATATTTGCAAACTGACAATTTACTACTTCTAAACATAGATTTTAAGGGAAGTTTAGGATTAATAATCCAAAAATTTTATCCTAATTCCTGCCATTCACAGAATTTGCAATAAAAAGTCTCCTTTTCTAGTTACACCAAAGTAAGAATATCCATCAGAAAATTAAAACAAAAACAGATGCAGGCAATATCAAATTCCTAGACCAGAAAGAACCATTTTAGTCTGATCTCCTGAATAACTTCTCCAAAATAATTCCTAGAACATATTTATTTATTTAAAAATTGTAAATGAAGGAGAATAGGCAAAGACTCTTGGTAAGTTATTCTAATAATTAATTACTCTTAGTGTTAAGAATTTACAACTTTTTTCCAGTGAGAATTTGTCTAGGCGAAAATTGTTATATAGACATTCAAGCTTCAGGTTGGAGCCTGGGATCTGAGACCCTTTGTGGTGGGAGTGTCTAACAATCTGGGATCCAGCACAAAGTGAACATCTACACAGCAATTCTAGTGCTCCACAACCTGAGCCCGCAGTCAGCTGTGGGTGTTTAGTTACTGTGTAGACATACCATTTCTGTCTACAAACAAATCACACTAACCACCCAGGCTCTCCAGACCTTGTGGGGGTGGCTGGGCCAAACCCTGAGTCAAGCTGGGACCCACGGTTCAAGCTCTATTACTTTGCAGCCCTACTGAACTTGTGCTCTAGGAGTCTGCCAACAATATCCCACAATCTCACTTTCATCTTTATGTCTTCAGTCCTGCAATCACTGACATGCAAGTTTAACAGTAAGCATGAATATTCCTTTTGACATCAGTGAAACAATATGTGCTTATGTACGTTGGCCAAATTGGAAACAGGTTTGGGCTTGAAATACTTATATGAGTTGGTATATTTCCTAAAATCTACAGAGATGTTTTTTAGTTGGAAAAATGCCTGTTCAACACTCTTTAGTGAATTAATGGAAGATAAAAAGCAAAGCATCTACTGGCTGACTGCATCATTGCTATTATATATTTTATTCAAAATCACTGACATTTAAAAAAAGAAAAAGAAAAAAAACAGTAATCAAGCAATAGTAAAGACAAAATAAAATGTGAGTATTCCCAATGAAACAAAGGGTACTAATTCTATAATGAAAGTTAAGAAGATAGCTCAAAAGTGGTTTTGCAAAATTCACTCTTATCAAACACAAAACTATTAGATATAATACAGTAATCACAAGCAAAGTGTCCTGGAAATAGACCCTTTCAAGAAGATATGGTTAATAAAAAGCTCTGTTAACAGAAGATGGTCAACTGCTTACAAGTGAATTAGACTAACAACACACAAAGTATCATTAAAAGAATAAGAAGAAGTTACTCACCTTGTGTAGTAACGATGGTTCTTCGAGATGTGTCCCCGTGGGTGCTCCACGCCCCACCCTCCTCCCCGCTCCGGGTCTTTTTGCTTTATCTTTCAGAGACCGAGCGGTGAGAGGAACTGACAAGGGGGAGCCGGTCCGTTGCAAAGGCGCGAACGCCGCGCGCTGCGTCCGCGCGTGCGCGGTCCGGCTCGGCTACGGCTATAGAAGTTTTCCGACCAGCGGCGCCGGGACGGGACCCGACACCTGGAGTGGAGCACCCACGGGGACACATCTCGAAGAACCATCGTTACTACACAAGGTGAGTAACTTCTTCTTATTCTTTTAATGATACTTTGTGTGTTGTTAGTCTAATTCACTTGTAAGCAGTTGACCATCTTCTGTTAACAGAGCTTTTTATTAACCATATCTTCTTGAAAGGGTCTATTTCCAGGACACTTTGCTTGTGATTACTGTATTATATCTAATAGTTTTGTGTTTGATAAGAGTGAATTTTGCAAAACCACTTTTGAGCTATCTTCTTAACTTTCATTATAGAATTAGTACCCTTTGTTTCATTGGGAATACTCACATTTTATTTTGTCTTTACTATTGCTTGATTACTGTTTTTTTTCTTTTTCTTTTTTTAAATGTCAGTGATTTTGAATAAAATATATAATAGCAATGATGCAGTCAGCCAGTAGATGCTTTGCTTTTTATCTTCCATTAATTCACTAAAGAGTGTTGAACAGGCATTTTTCCAACTCAAAAACATCTCTGTAGATTTTAGGAAATATACCAACTCATATAAGTATTTCAAGCCCAAACCTGTTTCCAATTTGGCCAACGTACATAAGCACATATTGTTTCACTGATGTCAAAAGGAATATTCATGCTTACTGTTAAACTTGCATGTCAGTGATTGCAGGACTGAAGACATAAAGATGAAAGTGAGATTGTGGGATATTGTTGGCAGACTCCTAGAGCACAAGTTCAGTAGGGCTGCAAAGTAATAGAGCTTGAACCGTGGGTCCCAGCTTGACTCAGGGTTTGGCCCAGCCACCCCCACAAGGTCTGGAGAGCCTGGGTGGTTAGTGTGATTTGTTTGTAGACAGAAATGGTATGTCTACACAGTAACTAAACACCCACAGCTGACTGCGGGCTCAGGTTGTGGAGCACTAGAATTGCTGTGTAGATGTTCACTTTGTGCTGGATCCCAGATTGTTAGACACTCCCACCACAAAGGGTCTCAGATCCCAGGCTCCAACCTGAAGCTTGAATGTCTATATAACAATTTTCGCCTAGACAAATTCTCACTGGAAAAAAGTTGTAAATTCTTAACACTAAGAGTAATTAATTATTAGAATAACTTACCAAGAGTCTTTGCCTATTCTCCTTCATTTACAATTTTTAAATAAATAAATATGTTCTAGGAATTATTTTGGAGAAGTTATTCAGGAGATCAGACTAAAATGGTTCTTTCTGGTCTAGGAATTTGATATTGCCTGCATCTGTTTTTGTTTTAATTTTCTGATGGATATTCTTACTTTGGTGTAACTAGAAAAGGAGACTTTTTATTGCAAATTCTGTGAATGGCAGGAATTAGGATAAAATTTTTGGATTATTAATCCTAAACTTCCCTTAAAATCTATGTTTAGAAGTAGTAAATTGTCAGTTTGCAAATATAGTGATGCTATTTTTAATGTTACATATATCTTCTTACCTTCCAACCCCATATTTGTCCTTTAGTTTGGAGATTTCTATAATTAAGAAAGATGAAGGACCCATGTGGCCAGAGCTGATAGTGGATGATTCACGAGGAGAATTCATCATGGGCTCTTCCCAGTGTTCTGCAGTAGCTGAACGCCTGATGCATCTTACCTCTGAAGAAATGGTAAGAAATTAAAATGAAAAATAACATTAGAAAATCCTTATAGATGTGCTCAAGGTTTATAGTCTTGAGAACCAGGCTCTCCCTTTTTTGACATTATGTAATCAGTCAGGTCATTTAGGAATCTAACTATTAACATTCTTTTTTGTTCAGTTACAGTTATTAAACTATAATGACACTAAGTAGTTTTTATCATTTTTCATAATCTATATATAGAGTACAAAATTTAAATGGTAACATAATCCACACATACTGAATTCAGTTGGCATATGTTTTGTTGAGCAAACACTAAAAGAATGACTGAGTATGGTGTGTTGTGTATTTGTTTTCCTGCTGTAGTTAGTCGTTTGCTAGATGAGTTCTTTCAATACTGTCCCAGCTCTGTTCTGATAGCAGACACTGTATATCTCAATCAAACTTCCCAATAAAACTACAAACCTATTTTACTAGCCAAGGCATCTGGCCAGGATTATTGCTGATAAAACACAGTCCTAGCACCTCATACAATTTACAGGACCATTAACACGTATACGCCTTGTGGACCCACTCAGTGAATGATGGCACTTTCCACCCTTCCCCCACTCACTGCACAAAGATATACCATTTATGTATGACCTTTCTTTTATATACTGATACAAACAAGTTATACTTTGTCCTTCTGACATGGTTTTTACTATTATTTACTTTGCACATGTTAGTTCCATCAAAACATCTATATTCATTGCCTTATCATCCTATTCCTATCTTTGAGAGGATCATTGTATTGTCATAGCATCTTCAGGGAGTTTGTTTACACCATAACGCTGTTTTGAGGTATTCTAATACAGTAAAACTCCAATTGTCCAGCATCCAGTGGTCCGGCACTCCTGATAGTCCAGCACCAACTGGAACCCGGAAGTGCTCCTGCCAGCCGGACAATTGGAGCTGCTGTGAGCCCCATGGGCACTCGCAGCTGGGAAAGGAAAGGGGAGAAGAGGGTAAGAGGATTATACCCCTATGACGGGTCTGCCGGGACCCGCACTGCAACCGGTTGGGGGTGGGCGGGGAACAGCGCGGAAAGGGGTGAACCCTCCGCCATTTTGCAGGAAGGCGGGGGAAGCCCCGCGCCGCCGCCGAGAGTTTCCGGGAGGGGAGCGGGCTTTCCACCCCCCAGACTGCAGTAGTTATCGCCGAGCAGGGCGGTGTGAGGGGCGACGCTGCGGGACCAACCTGGCAGCACCCCAGCTGCTCTGCTCTGCAGCTTCCCCAAGTCCGCTGTTCATCAGTTTCAGCAGCGGCGGATTTGGGGATGCAGCGCGGAGCATAGCAGCTAGGGTGTTGCCGGGTTGGTCCCGCAGCGCCACCCCTAACCCCCCTGCTCGGCGATAACTACTGCAGTCTAGGGGGTGGAAAGCCCGCTCCCCTCCCGGAAACTCTCAGCGGCGGCGCGGGGCTTCCCCCGCCTTCCTGCAAAATGGCGGAGGGTTCACCCCTTTCCGCGCTGTTCCCCGCCCACCCCCAACCGGTTGCAGTGCGGGTCCCGGCAGACCCGTCACAGGGGTATAATCCTCTTGCCCTCTTCTCCCCTTTCCTTTCCCAGCTGCGAGTGCCCATGGGGCTCACAGCAGCTCCAATTGTCCGGCTGGCAGGAGCGGGATTTCCCCTGCCTTCCTGCAAAACGGCGGAGGGTTCGCCCCTCGCTGTGCTGTTCCCCCTCCCACTCCCCG